AAACAAGAAAAAAAAGTTACTTGGAATAATTGTCTTTCATTTTGATTCTGTTACCATTTGACATTAGTTAGGTTCGTTAGGTTTATTTGTTTCCATTTATTTTCAATTTAGGGGTTCGGAGTATTTTCTTTTTTATTTTTTGAATATGAAAATATTTATATGATACAAAAGTCAAATTATGTAAAAATGTATACTCAGAAGCCTTGCTTTCATCTGTATATCCTTACCCTCATCCCCATAAGTAACAGTTATTATTGGTTTTTGTTTTATCTTTCCAATTTTCTTTTTGTAAAGATATAAAAAACCCTTATATATTTTTAATCCCATTTTAAAATAAAAGTTAGCATACTATATGTACTGTTCTGTACTTTGTTTTTTAACTTAATGCATCCTGGAGATCATTCCACATCAGTACATACAGATTTCCTTTTTTTTTTTTTTTCCCTTAGGTAGAGTCTTTCTCTGTCGCCCTAGCTAGATTACAGTGGCATCATCATAGCTCACTGCAACCTCAAACTCCTGAGCTCAAGAAATCCTCTTGCCTCAGCCACCCAAGTAGCTGCCCAGCTAATTTTTCAGTTTTTCTTCTGGGGGTCTCGCTCTTGCTCTGGCTGATCCAGAAGTCTAGAATGCCTGATCTTAAGCAGTCCTCCTGCCTCAGCCTCCCAGAGTGCTAGGATTACACCCATGAGCCTCCATACCTGGCCATCCTCATTCTTTTTAAATTGCTTCTTAGTACTCTGTTGTTTGGATGAATCATAGACTTTTCAACCAGTTTTTTTGTTTTTGGAGACGGAGTCTTGTTCTGTTGCCCTGGGTAGAGTGCATTTGGCATCATCATAGCTCACTGCAACCTCAAACTCCTGAGCTCAAGCAATCTTCCTGCCTCTGCCTCCCAAATAGCAGGGCTTCTATACAGGTGTGTGTCACCACAGCTGGCTGATTTTTCTGTCTTTTGTGGAGACAAAGTCTTGCTCTTGCTCAGGCTAGTCTTGAACTCCTGGCCTCCAGCAATCCTTCCATCTTGTCCTCCCAAAGCTAGGATGACAGCTGTGAGCCACTGTACCCTGTCCCCAGTCCTCTGTTGATGGATACTTGAATTTTACTGTGTTCATTTGCTATTCCAGATAATGTTGCAGTATGGAACTTTGTGTATGTATTATTTTAATTTTATAAAAGTACATCTTAGGGTAAATTCCTAATAGTAGAATCACTAGCACATAAGGTGAATGCATATGTAATTTTGTTATATTTATCAAATTTCCCTCTAAGGGGGAAATTTGGTAAATATAGAGGTTGGTAAATTGGTAAGGGGTTGGTAAATTTGGTAAATATAGAGGTATATACAATAGAGGTTGTAACCATAGAGATTAGCAGGGTGTGAGAGTACTTATTCCTCCACAGGTTTATCAAAAGTGTGATACGCCTTTGTAATTCCAGCTACTTGGGAGGTTGGTGGGGAGGATCTCTTGAGCCCATGAGTTTGAGGCCAGCCTAAGCAACATAGCAAGATACTGGATTTAAAGAAAAAGATACTGTTGTCAAACTTAAGGATCTGATAGGTGAGGCAGTGACTTTATTTATCCTCATATGAATAAAGTCAGACTTTTTTATGTTTAAGGGTGAATTTCCCTTTTTGTGAAGTTCCTATTCATATGTTTTGCTCATTTTTCTTTTTGGTTTTGGGTTTTTCCTCTTAATTTTTAGATCTTTATATATTTGGGAGATTAACCCTTTGAGATATGATTTATAAGTATTTCTCCGAATTTGTCACTTGTCTTTTGACTTAAATTATGGCAATTGTTTTTGGGTTTTTCATGCAGTTTCTTTTTATGCACTTAAATTTATCAATTTTTTTCCTTTAAAAGCTTCTGGATTTGGGACTATAGTTGGAAAGGCTTTGCTCAGTTCCAAGTTACAAAGGAATTTACACATTCTCTTCTGTTACTTACATGGTTTCATTTTACTACTATTAGATCTCTGATTCCTTAGTATTTTATACTGGTATGTTATGTAAAGTATGGATATAATTTAATCTAATTTAATCTCTTTTCAAATGGCCATCCACTTATCCAAATAGTCATTAAAAATTTTAAATTTTCCACCCAGTGATTTGAGGTGCTACCTTTACCATGTATCAAATTTTCATGTATTTTTGGACCTCTTTCTGGTATTTATATTCTGTTCCATTGTTCTTGCATTAGTATCACACAGTTTGAATTATGTAGACATTGTAATATGTTTTTAATATCTGGTATGGCTACCTTCCCTCCCCAAATACTCGTTTTTATGGATTTTCCTGGATATTCTTATTTGTGTATTTTTTTACATAAACTTTATTTTCACTTTAGCTCTGGAAAAAAATACAAGTATTTTTATTGGGGAAAATTGACATCTTTATGATGTTGAGACATCCAGGAAAGTAGGATTACCTTTCCATTTATTCATGTCCCCTTAGTTTTTTTGTCTTTCAGAGTCCTTTTTATTATATATAATCTATATATAATATAGATTCATCATTCCATATCCATTCCTAATCATACCCCACTAATCTCTATGAGGGAAATTTGATAAATATAACGAAATTTGTATGTATTCACCTTATGTGCCAGTGATTCTACCAATAGGACTGTACGATGCACTTTCATAAAATCAAAATAATACATACACAAGGTTCTATAGTGCAACATTATTTGGAGTAGCAAATGACTAGTATATATTATTAAGATATACGTATATCTTATATAATTATAACCCATATAATATGTTCATAATATATAAAAGTTTTATGTGTAACATATAATTCAAAAAGCTTTTTACTATAGAAAATTCAAACATAGAAATTTAAAAATAGGCCAGCATGATGGCTTATGCCTATACCCCGGCACTTTGGGACTCTGAGGCTAGAGGATTATTTGAGGCAAGGAGTTCATGACTATCCTGCACAACGTAGTGAGACCCCATCTGTACAAAAAATTAAAATTACGTCTGTCTATATAGTCCCAACGACTTGGGAGGCTGAGGACAGAAGGATCACTTAAACCCAGGAGTACAGGACTGTGGTGTGCTGTGATCGTGCCTCTGCATTCCAGCCTGGGTGCCAGAGTGAGACCCTGTCTTCACATACACACACACACAAAATAGTATAATCAATCCCCATGTACCCAGCTTCAACAGTTAACGTTTTTCATAGCTAGAATTCTTGACTTACATCCTTGGTCCAATTCTTGACACTACAATTATCTGACTTCAAAAGGTGGTACTGCTGTGGTCACTTGGATTCACAGAAGAGTTTCTAAGTCAACTATGTTGGTTACTATGTCGATAAAGTCTCTGAGGATGTTTTTTTAAAGATAAAGAGCTATTGTTGATCATTGAACTGTTTTAGGATAGCAATTCCTGATATTTCAAAGAGCATTTTATAACAAAGCAAACATTTAGATCCTGGCTCCCTGTCAAAGTATAATTTTTAAGAGTTAAAATCATAACTATTACAAATTTAGAATGACATTTGTCAAATATTCTAATTCATTAATTAATGAGGGAACTAGAAACATGGTAAAACTGGTTCTAAAAACTTGGGTTTATATGGTCCTTCCTTTAAAAAAAAATGTTAGATTGCTAGGTTAGAAACAAAACTGGTTAATGTCCTATAGATAACCTTTGGATTGTCTTTATCTTGGACAGAAATCATTTGCATATTTCCCAGACACAAATCTACAGGTTAACATGTAACTTCACAGAGTCTGAGTCCTTAAGTAATAGTAAGTAACTAAGTCAAAATGGCATATTCATCTAGAAAATTAAGTAATCTTTGGGTGAACTTGTTAAACCAAAGTCAGCAAACTACAGCCTGTGGGTCAAATCTGGCCTGATGCTTTTTGTGTAAATAAAGTTTTATTGGAACACAGCCAAACTCACTTATTTACTTATTGTATGTGGCTGCTTTTGTACCATAATAGCAGAGTTGAGTACTTATAACTGAGACTCCTGGCCCATATAGCCTAAGGTATTTACTGTTTGGCCCTTTACAGAAAGGTTTACTAACTCCTGTGTTAAACAGTGCTTCAGGATGATATTAAAAGGATATGTTGCCACTATCTTGGCCTTACTTCCAGAATTGGGGTAATTTTTTTAAGAACCCATGTGAACATTGCAGTGATAAAATCTACTATTACTTCTATAGCTAATGAGCCTCTTATTCTCCACCACCCTTTCTGTGTTTTTCCTTTAATGTGTGTGTCTTTCTTTTTGATACAGCCACCTTTTTAGTTTTCTCTGTACCTTTTCCTACAGTTCTTCTTTTTTCTTCTTTGTGTACTTTTTCCCTCCTTTCTTTGATCATAATATGGAATGTTAATGTCCTCAACAATATTTATTTTACTGGTCAAGTTTTTAATTTTTAATTTAGATCAGTTTAGACTGTTATGTGCTTGCCTCAAAATCCATTGGTATTATCAAAATTTGGGAGGTTTTTATTGTTGTTTCCTCTGCTATTCACCACCCTGCAAGTTGTAGCTTTCAGCTGGGAAAAAAGTTCCCTACACTGTTTAGTTAAGCAAAAGGAGTAGGGGAAAAACATTGCAACGGTATAAGTAAGATTTTCTTAGTCCTAAAGTTTATGTTTTAGAATATTTTAAAGTACTTTTTCATGTATAGTTTTTTTATAGGAAACCTTGAAGGACACATTAAGATAACTTGGAAAATAAAGACCAGTTAGCATTTTAGTTCACTGACTATATGTTGGTAGTTAGGTATTTGATGATACAGTTTGAAGACCAATAAAATTCCAGAACTGGAGTCTTGCTCAGTAAATGCCCTATTTTCCTAAGGGGTTTTTAAATTTAAACATATGCTTTTTTATTTAGAAAAGGTACATTCAGTGTAGATATTCAAGGAAACACCATTTATTCTCATGTCCTCTATGAAATCAAAAGTGGTGCTTAATGAAAAACAAATAATTTGACTGCATTAATAAATAATGTTTTTTCACCCTTAAGATAAAGCAAAAGGAGAGAAAGAATAATACTGACACTTTATATGAAGTTGTGTGCTTGGAAAGTGAATCAGAAAGAGAAAGGAGGAAAACTACAGCCAGTCCTTCAGTTCGCCTGCCACAGTCTGGATCTCAGAGTTCAATGATACCTTCTCCTCCAGAGGATGATGAAGAGGAAGGTAAACTGTAGGGAGAGCTTAATTTATATTAGGGGTGGAGGACCATGCAGACTATTAAAATTTTATCAATGGATTGATAACGTGATATGACATTTGGAATTTAGTGAATTCCCCTTATGAGAGTTGACTACATGCAAGGAGTTGTGGGAGATTAAAAAAATGATTAACATTGAGCCTTCTTTAAGATACTTACAATCAAATTGGAAAAAGTTTTAAAATTAGTGCTTTTTAAAAAATGAGCGCTAGCTTGGTGGATTAGCACATTTTTAAGAGCAAATTTGACACAGCTTCCACCTAAAGAAACATTCCCATCTCAACTAATTCATTTAACAGGGACAATTTCACTTACCAAAATATGGCTTCCACACATGATCCTTTCACCAAATATATAAATAAATATATAATATTTTTATTTATTCATTTTGTATAATTATCATTAATCATTTTGTATAAGTAAATATACGTATTTATATATTATGGTGTTTTCACACTGAAACACAAGAATTAGAGCCAGGTGTAGTGGTGGCTTATGTCTATAATCTCAGCTACTCCCAGCAACTTGTGAGGCTGAGGTGGGAGGTTTGCTTGGGGCCAATTTGAGACCAGCCTGGGCAACATAACATAGTGGGGTCTCATCACAAAAAAATACATATATATATTTTTTTTCTTTGATTGTCTCACTCTGTCACCCAGGCTAGACTACAATGGCATCATCATAGCTCACTGCAGCCTCAAACTCCTGGACTGAAGTGATCCTCCTGCCTCCACCTCCAGAGTAGTTGTGACTACAGGCTCACATCACCACTCCCCATTAATTTTTCTATTTTTACTAGAGACAAGGTCTGGCTATGTTGTCCAGGCTGGTCTTGAACTCCTGGCCTCAAGTGATCCTCCTGCCTGGGCCTCCCAAAGTGCTGGGATTACAGGTGTGAACAACTGCATCAGCCTAAAAGAATTTTTTTTAATTAGCCAGACGTGGTGTGCACCTGTAGTCCTAGCTACTTGGGAGGCTGAGGCAGGATGACCACTTGAGCCCAGGAGTTAGGCTGCAATGAGGTATAGTTGCACCACTGCGCTCCAACCTGGGTAACAGAGCAAAACCCTGTCTCAAAGAATCAACCAGTTCATTTTTTACTTTTTGTTATGGCTGTCTACTGAATTAATCTGTCAGTCTCTATTTAAAGGTGTACTATACAGAAGTGAGGAATGAGAGAAAGGGCACAGGGAAAGTGAACATTTGAGTCATTTTCTAATTTATAGCTTAGTACTAGGGCTTTGTTTTTAATGAAGAAAGCTGATTATGATACAAGGTCATGTGAGGGACATATCTGTATGAGGTTCACAAGAAGTGTTCTGGAAATAAGAATCCAGTTCCTTGTGGGGAATGTGGTTTGGCATCATGAAGAGTAATTTGTGAGCTGGGAGAATTCAGTAGGTGTAAATGTGCAGTTTGTAGGCATCTCTGGCTAAGAAATTACCTTAACAAAGGCATGGGGGTAGCAGGAACAATTGATTTGGTTAAAAGACAAACATATCCATGATTACATGTACTTTTTTCAAGTTTAGAGTAACACTCTCCAGTTCCATTGTCCTTGTGATTAATCAACTTAGGCTCATTTATTAGTAATATTAATGGCCACCAATACTACATGCTTAATATATAGCAGGCAGGTGCTTTGTTTATATAATACAGTAATCCTGAAAAATAGGATTTATTATTCATTTTGCACATGAAAAATGTAATATCAGAAAAGTGAATTTGCCCAAGGTAACACAGCAGGAAATTGGCAGCATCAGGATTTGAATCCAGTCTATGAGTCCATATTGTTAGCTGTAGTCTATCGTCATCTCTTGCATTTAGTTAACATAAAGCATTTTGAAGTACAGAGAAAGTGTGTCGTATTGTGTTTAACATCAGAAATGCAATTTAGAGTCCCCCTACAGAGCCAATTTGGGAAAGATGGAATTGTTTCCACTGTTCACAGGTATTTGCTGTAGTCTCCATCTAAAGAAAGGTTCTTGAGATTTACAGTTTCTCTTCTGGGTCAACATTGGTTAAGATGGCAAAGTAGGTAAAAGTTTACATAACTCTCATCCGTTAAACTCAGCAATAAAAACAAAAGAACTAAACATTGAGAAAGATACACTTATGAAACCAAAGAATGCTCAGATCTTTATACCATAGATTTTGAGGAGGGTCTACTGATAATGAAGAAATCTGAGCCCAACTAAAAAAAGTCCATCAGGACTGATACCTAGTTCTGATTTACAACAGGCATAGATTTTTTTTTTTTTTTTTTTCATTTTTAAGGGGGTTAAGAAGACCTCTACCAATAGTTGCTAACTAGGGAGATATAACGAGGGACTAATGGCAATGGGTAGTCCATGGGAAAATCCAGGAACATTGGAACATAAGGTCTGTGAAGGAAGAGAATGTGTCTATTCTTGCACCATGTTGTTTCCCTAGTATATACCACAATATCTGGTATGTAGTAGGTATTCAGTAAATATTGGTGGGATGAGTAACCTCTTGGGATCCATTTCCATAGTCAAGAGCTAATGACAGGATAACTGAGACTAAAGAAAATTGTGTAGCCATGCCATCATTTAATTCTTTCTAACCCAGTTTACAAACCAGGGAAACCTATCTTACTATGATCTGTTTGCTCCCTGGAAAGAAAGGGCTACAGTCTTCTAGATAGGCTTATTACCCGTGGGATATGTGGCAGGAAGCCAGCAATTATAAAGATGTGTTCAGAAACAACATTCTGCAACTGAGACTGTCTGCCCACTCCCTACCCCTATTTTAGGGAGATGGGGTTCTTAACAAGATTTTATACTGTTACCGTGCAAATTTGTGAAAGCATTCAAAACAGTGGAGGAGAATCTTCTAAAAATAGGTTGTCTTAATCTTTTTGAAGGAATTGTCATCCCTTGTAAATTTTAGTACATTTTTCACAGCCACCTTTCCCCAAAGAGTTGTATTTGATATGTTGATATTTTAATGAGTAGAAAATTACTTGAGAGATTAGAAAGTAGGGACAGTCTGGCAAGGTAGTGAAGTTGGGGAAATTTACCTTAGTGCCCTTAAGTCTTTTTCTCTTCTGTTTTATTCACTGATTGACAGAAGATTTCTCACATGTAATCTCTCTTCTTTCCTGTCTCACTATCAAAACTGATGATAACATCCAAGGCATTATAATGTAAAGAGGTTTAATAATAAGTATCATGGATTTCTGAGTCTTTAAAAATCAGTGCTCCCAGATAATTACTAGCAGGAATGCATATTCATCATGCAGTCATCAGAGGTGTAGAGATCCAAACTTTGTTTAGGCACATTAAGCCCCAAAATCAAAAACAAACAAAACCTAGAAACAGCATTGGTGAGGGCACATGGAAACAAGTCCTGATCTGTACCTAATTAGAGGCAATGTAAATTGATAGAACCATTTTGGAAGGCAATTTGTCAGAAAACATCAATATCCTTAAAAGTATGCTTTTTTTTTTAAATCAGGAAGTCTACTTTAAAGCAATGAAATGTATTCATCCTGATATTATTTGTAGCAAAAAGTTAAAAATTCCCCAAGTGTCCAACAGAAGAGGATTTAGTAGAGAGATCGTAGTCCATATCTTTTCCTCACTTTCATTATGCTTTTCATTTCCTCTCATGCCTATATCAGGGCCACTTTTTTCTCTGTCTTCATATCTTATAATCCCTAAATTCTAACTTGAATTTACTTTTCTTATTATGTAAATTAAATTTGAAATTTGGTTTGATCCTCTTTAAATTATTTTTGTGCTTTCTCTTATAAATTAATATATGCCATTGTAGAAATATTAGAGTCATAAAAAGAAGAAAACATTAGTCATAACTCCATCACTCAGGCAATAATTGTTAATGTTTGGTATGGTTTATTCTAGTCTGTCTATTTTTTAACATAAGGTAGATCATGGTGTAGATTAAGCTCTTCATATTTTTATTTTATGCAGTATTTTGCTACATTATCATGTAAACATAAATGTCACCATGGAATTAATTGCATACATATATATCATAATTTATTCAACCCTTCTCTATTCCTGTTGGACACTTAGCTGGTTTGAAATTTTTTTAACTTTTATAAATAAGACTGCTATACATTTTAGGCATAAAGCTGTTTGCTTTGGACAAGGAGAGAGAAGGTACCATATTTTAAGTCCTGTAAATTTATAATTAAATGGCTTTTTTCTATGATTGACATACTTGGACTTATATGGAAAGCAAAAGAGAATTAAAGAGGTTACAACAACATTCCACCTAGAAATATTTTTCTTTGTATTTATACATAAATACTAAGAGAAATTCTAACTTTATGTTCCCAATGAAGTCTTTTAAATTTGACTCTTATATTCCAGTGTCATTCTTCTGGCTAGCATAGCCATACCTCTGTTATCCTTTTTGTGTGTTTTGTTTATTAAAGATAATGATGAACCTCTCTTGAGTGGATTTGGTGATGTATCCAAAGAATGTGCAGAAAAAATTCTTGAAACATGGGGAGAACTGCTGTCAAAATGGTAAGTTATGATAGAATAGTCCTCCTTTTCATCTACAAATCTTATTTTATGGGTAGAGAATCTTACCTAACTATTAATAAAATATTCAATTTTGGAACCAGTAATAGAAGCCTAAGTGTGAGATTCGCATTCTATAATCTCTGTTTTTAGAGATTTATCAGGGTAGTAGTGGAGGTTTGAGATCAATTTTTAGAATATCAGAAACCTAATAAATTCTCATTGCTAGAGAAAATATTAACCCAAACATGGAATTCATGAGCAAAATAAACAAGGGAAAAGTCCTTTATATTGATGAGTTTAGGAACCACTGACTGGTTGAGATAAGACAACACACAATAATCAGAGATATTTAAAGGATGTTTACACAGTGCTTAGAGACCCCAGGTAGGATTTTCTCTTATCTGTGGTAAGCACCTATAATGACAGAGCAAAAGTATCATAAACATGGTGTATATTGCCTGCTCTATCAATTACATTTTGTACTACAAAATAAAATTCAGGAATTTCTCATAAGTTCAAGAATAGCTTGACAGCAGTGTTAGGAAACACTATTCTGTAGGTTATGTTAATAGATTATATTAGATATTTATTAGCATAACCAGAGATACTCTGGTAAGTCAGGTTTGTGAGACATTTATGTACTTTTTCTTTTCTGCCTGGATATGACGCTAGTATATACTGGAAAAAGCTGAGCTTGAAAGTGATCCAAGGACTTCTCTATTTCTGGCATTCTGGTTTTTGGGATTATCATATAAACTCCCTGTGGGCCTGTTACTTTGGGGTTTGATTTTTCTGAGAAGTTTTAATTGTTGAAGTTTTTCACTGTATTCTTAGTAAAAGTGTGTCTCAGCATTTTAAAAAATTATTTCATGCCCTTAAGGGATAGGACTACAAATGGGCTTTATCTGTTTGTAGCCCTCTCACAATGCTTTACACTTTTGGCAAAACACACTCTACATTGGGAAATGTCAAATGTGTACAAGAGAAAAAAGCAAACCAAACCATGGTTTTGTCTTTATACAAGTGTTTTTAATTGAACTCTGCAAAGTCCCCAGGGTAATAGTTCTCTTGTATTTTTGATAATTCTTTACAATCAGGAGACAAAACTACTGGTGCTCTTGTCACAATTATATTTTCAGTTGAGTGAATTTGGGGTGTTTGGGCTGCTGCTGGCAGGAATTTCATCTGTATGAAAAGGTTTTTGCTCTAAAACAGAAATGTAATTGAGTCTTAACATGGTTACAAAATAGTATGTTTCAAATCATTAATATACAGCAGTTAAACTCTGAATTATATTTTATTAGATCAACCCACCAGCATTTTATACAATGGCTTAGAATTTGTTTTGCTGGCAAGCTTTCTTATTCATGTTGTTATTCATTTAATTAACATTTGTTCTCCCATTCCCTCAAATATATTAACTGAGTTTCCATCTGTCTCTAGTGTCTTCAGGGTGTTCAAACTGTTTTTGCTTGTTTTAGTCATATCTTCAGATATATAATATGATAGCTCTCTTCAAATCATTCATCATCATTTTTTCCCACTATGTGTGTTCTATGGATTGGAAGCATTATAATATCTTGGAATTTTAAAGCCTGGTAGACCTGACTTCATGTCGTCTTCTCTGTACTTTCAAGCTGTATGTGGTCTTAGGCAAGTCCTTTAAATCTTCTGAATCTGTTTCTTCATTTAGAAAACAGAAGTCTATAAAATTACTATTCAGGATAATCATAGATTAAACATAATGGATGTCGTGGTTGTAGTTGTAGTAATCGTAGTTAAGAACTAAAGAATTTACCATATGCTAGACACCGTGCTAAATTATGTGCTCTATTTTAACTGTAACAAGCTTATGAGCTAGTAGTACCCATTTTTACATATGAGGAAACTGGCTCATAGGTTAATTCTAGTCAGTAAATGTCAGAGCTAGAATTTTTAACACAGTCAAGTCTGATCCCAAAGCTGGTTTATTTAATCCTACATTAGATTTTAGTGGCAGTATTAATAATAGTATCTTTGAGCTCTAATTCTCCAAGTTCATTTTCATGTGATTCTTAGTGGATAACAGAACTAAATGTCAGTATAATATAAGATGCTGAGTTGGATTGATAAAGTTAATATTATCAGTGACATAAAATCATTCTGAAAGTAATTTTGCCAATGTAAATTAACCTATGGTTAGCAAAAGTTTTTCTGTAAAAGGTCAAATAATAAATACTTTGGGCTTTGTAGGGTAACAGGCTATTGCAATTACTCATCCCTACTATTGTAGTACAAAATCATAGACAGTCCTTAACAAATAAGCATGGCTATGTTTTAATAAAAGTTTATTTACAAAACCAGGTGGTAGACCCAGTTTAGCCCCACAAGCCATAGTGTACCAAGACTTAAGAATTAAGTGACAATGATTTTTTTTTCCTGCACTTAATAATCCAACTTTTATATAATTGGTTTTTTCTAAGCAAGGACAAAACTGTATTGAATTGTCTATAGCTCTTGCATTAGGGTACCAGTGTCACAGAATTAATAATTTTTAAATGTACTGTGCAAAATTCTCAGAGAATTCTGCAAACTTTTTGAGAAAAATCTCAGACCTTTTTATACTTTGGTAGTGCTTATTTTGCATTAGTAGCTTCTGCTTAAATCTGATAGTCATAAGAGCTGTTTTATGTCAGGATCCTGCATTATTCACTCAGTGATGGTGGCTCTTAAATCATAAACCAGCAACATTATTGGTGTTGAGAGGTTGAGGACTACCTCAATCATTTAATCAACCTCCCTGAACTTTTTTCTTCACCTGTAAAACTGGAGATACTACCATCTACCTTAGATGATGGTTGTGAGGATCAAATAAGATATCATATGCAAATCACTTTGTAGGCCGGGTGTGGTGGCTCACGCCTGTAATCCTAGCACTCTGGGAGGCCAAGGCGGGCGGATTGCTCAAGGTCAGGAGTTCGAAACCAGCCTGAGCAAGACCCCGTCTCTACTAAAAATAGAAAGAAATTAATTGACCAACTAAAAATATATAGAAAAATTAGCCGGGCATGGTGGCGCATGCCTATAGTCCCAGCTACTCGAGAGGCTGAGGCAGGAGGATTGCTTGAGCCCAGGAGTTTGAGGTTGCTGTGAACTAGGCTGATGCCACGGCACTCACCTGGACAACAGAGTGAGAGACTCTGTCAAAAAAAAAAAAACCAAAAAAAAAAAAACACTTTGTAAATTTATGCCAGCATTTCAAGACAAGTTTTCCCCATTTTATAGATGAGATAAAGCCCGAAGACTTGAGTAACTAGTTTTAATGTTACAATAGTACAGTAGAAATGTTCTTAGCCACCACAGATATTCAGAAAAGTTACATGAAAGAAAGTATTATAAAAACTGCTTAAAACATTCTTGGAATATTTCATTTTAACTTAGAATATATAGATATAAGATTCACATGTCAATTTTCATGTAGGGCCAAGTTTCTTTTACTGTGTATCCACTGATTGGAATTTTGCTCTAGTCCCTTTTACATAATCCACAACCATAAAGCATTATCTGTGATTTCTAGCTTTGCTTTTTGTTTAAAAAGAAAAAGTAGAGTAATAAAGATACTTAGGAAGAATTTTTTTTGTAGATTTTTATTTTCTTCTACCCAATCTTGTATAGTTATCTTGACCATATCTAATTCAACAGGACTTTTATTTTTTTTTTCTTCCTTAGTATATTACCTTATCAACTCTTTGTAAATCATTCACTTTAGTTTTTATAAAAGTAGCACTTATTTAGAGAATCTGCCTTTTATGAACTTATAGGTTATGGTTTTATTTTCAGGCATCTCAACTTGAGTGTGAGACCAAAGCAGTTGTCATCTTTAGTAAGAAGCGGTGTCCCTGAAGCTCTTCGAGGAGAAGTCTGGCAACTGCTAGCAGGCTGTCACAACAATGACCACTTGGTAGAAAAATACCGCATTCTCATCACAAAGGTAAGGGGATGATAATTCAGTTTCAGCATTAATCCTTTTAGAGATTTGCAATGTAAAGATCACTGATTATTTGACTTCCAAGAATTTTTTATAATTAAGAAGTGTTATACTTCTAGCTCAAAGGTGTTTTTTCTGTTGCACAGAGGAGAAAGCATAGATTTTCTTCCTTGATCAACTTCACCTCAGAAGCAAAGGATGTCTTCTAGCCCGTTGTGTATCCAGATATTTTTTGATTTACATTGTCAATTATATTTTTAGTCAGATCAGTTGTCCTATGTAATGTGTAAAAATTTTGTTTATTTTAATCTAACACTTCACAAAAATATGCTCTTGGTAGGGAAGGCCTAGTTCTAGTTTCTGCAATTGTAAGAAAATAATTCTATAGTTTTTTTTACAATATTTCCTTAAGTTCATGCATGCCTCAAGGTTTTGCAAGCAAAGCAAGAAAAATTATTTCTTGTACAAACATACAAAGATTTAAAATAATATTTCTTGGCCAGGCGTGGTGGCTCATGCCTGTAATCCTATCACTCTAGGAGGCTGAGGCAGGTGGATCATTTGAGCTCAGGAATTTAAGACCAGCTTGAGCAAGAGCGAGACCCTGTCTCTACTAAAAATAGACAGAAATTAGCTGGACAACCAAAAATATATATATATATATATAAATAGAAAAAATTAGCCAGGTATGGTGGTGCATGCCTGTAGTCTTAGTCTGGAGGCTGAAGCAGGAGGGTCGCTTGAGCCCAGGAGTTTGAGGTTGCTGTGAGCTAGGCTGACACCACAGCACTCTAGCCTGGGCAACAGAGTGAGACTCTGTCTCAAAATAAATAAATAAATAAAATAATATTCCGTATAGTTAGGCAATGTCGTGTGTCATTATGTCCGTATTATTGGTTTTATTTTTAGTTTTCTCAAATTCTTGAAGTGTTTATTTTTAGGAAGCAGTTTCTCCAATGATATGCAAATCCTAAACCTGAGTTAATGAATGGATTGCTCAGAATCCTCAATAGCATGAGAATTTTCAGTGTGACAGAAGGTGAAATTTTTTCTTAAAAAATGTTAAAATCCTGTAAAATATGAATAATATCTCTATAAAGTTGTTAAAGAACAAAAACAACAACATAAAATAGCATAGCATTTAAATGTGAGATGGGGCCTTTCTTCACCAGAGAACAACTTTTATGTCTTGAGAATATTAGTGTTCTTTCTCATATTATTTTCAGACAAATGTTTTGTATTTCAAGAAGTAATATTCTGATTCCTTCCATTATATTGATATAATTGTTTAACCAGTGTTTATTGAATGCCTGTTGCAATAGAAATCAAGCAGATGGGAGGAAGCAGGAGGGAATGGGTGAAATCATACCTAACAAGTACAGTGTACACTATCTGGGTGATGGGTATGCTTATAACTGTGTCTCAGGCAGTACAAAAGCAATCCATGTAACCAAAACATTTGTAGTCCCATAATATTCTGAAATTGAGAAAAAGGAAAAAGAAAAAATTAGCCAGGCATGGTGGTGTACACTTTGTGATCCCAACTGTTAGGGAGGCTGAGGCCGGAGAACTGCTTCAACCCAGGAGTTAGATGTTGCAGTGAGCTATGATGACACCACTGCGCTACCTGGGGCAACATAGCGAGACTCTGTCTCAAAAAAAAAGATTTCTTAAGAGTTTATTGCTTTAAACTAAATATTTTTGGTAAGGTTATTCATACAAATAATTTAAAGAGATGAAATGTCTGTGATTGATTGGATTCTGTTTTCCTGGTTCCATGAAAATGGTTACATCTGTTTCTAGAAAAAGAACCTGGTGATTATATGATGTATAAAAGACTTATCTATTAACAAAATACATTGGTGATATGTACTTTGTATTTCATATTAAACTCTTATTATCATATATATGGCTAGAATCTTAAAATGTTTTTAAATGGATATAAGTTGAAATTTCTGGTAGATGATCAGAAAATACACATTATTTAACCATCATATTTGCAAATGCTTTTTAAAAAACTACAGTGATATCCAATGTAAATTGGTATTTTTCTTTTCTTTCTTCCTAGAAATAATAGTTATTGTATGGAAATGGTAATTTACATTTTTTAACTTACTCTGAAGATTTGTGGGAGGGAGGAGAACCTACTTTTTAAATTTTTTAAATTTATTTTTACAGCAAACTGTAATTTACATAGGATAGAATACACAACTTTAAAGTGTACAGCTCCATGACATTATATATATAAATACACTGCTATGACCACTGCCAAGAACAAACCTATCACCCTAAAAAGCTATTCTTGTCCCTGTCTGGTCATAAGCACTCCTATTACACCCCTGAGTATTCACTATTCTGACTTTTCTCTCCTTAGATTAGTTTTGCCCTTGTTTTTGAATTCCATTGAAATGCAAATTATACGGTCCTAAGGTGTGTTACTTGTTTGTATCTGACTTATTTTGCTCATCCATTTTGGGAGTGTATCAGTAGCTCTAGTTTTTTGGTTTTTATTTATTTTTTAATTGTTGAGAGTATTACATTTTATGAATAAATTACACACTGTTAAATCTATTTTTCTGTAATGTTTGATTTTTTTCACTTTTTGCTTTTATGAAGAAAGCTGCCATGAACATTATTGCATATAGCAGGATTTGTTCATATTTAGACAGTAATATTAATATTTATGCAAATATCTATTACTAATTTCTAGAAATTATTTATTCTAAACATGGATTCTTTGCAAAAAGTTAACTTGGCAAACAAAACTGATGATTGTCTTTGTCATCATCTTCAGTTGTCAAGCCTGTCTTGAAGGGGGCACATGTAGTAATTTTTCCATATACCTTTTGTAACCCAAGGATAAATGACCTTTCATTAACACAAAGATACATAGTATGCTTTTAAAAGTATTTCTTATTTCTATAAGCAATGGAGTTAGAAACACTCTTCTCCCTGTTTTCCTGTGTAAAGTGAAAACTTTTTAGTTTTTCATTTCAGTAGGGATCCAGGAGGGAAATAATACAACAATAATAATAGCTACCTTTTTTCAGCACTTAGTATGTGTCAGATGCTATGCAAAGCACTTTATCTCCACTATCTCATTAATCCTTAGAAAATCCTTGTGAGATTGCAATTACTATTTCCATTTTAGAAATGAGGAAACATTGACTCACTGAGGTTTAACAGTATACTAAGCTAGTTAAGTAAATAGTAGAGGCAGAGTTTGAACTCAGGACTAACTCCAGAGTTGTTTCTTTTCCATTACCCTATTTATCCTTGAATGTAAACAAAAGTTTCTTCATACATAATGTACTCATACATTATGACTGTGTACATATTTATTTTGCTTGTTTTTAAGTATAATCTTTTATTCAACCATTCTTCTATGGGTGAGCCTTTACTTTGTTTCTGATTTTTAGTTTCTAAATAATGTTTTACTAAACATCTCTACGCGTGTTCTTAATCTTTTAGCTTTGTGGAATAGAGACTTTGGAGCATGATTGCTAGATCAAAGAGTAACTTGTTTTTTTAACTGGTTATTTAATTTTTGTATTTAATTTACTTCAGTTTGCTTCTCTAAAAGAATATGACAGTTCACCAGCAATGTAGTTATACTGGCAGGGTACCTGCTGACGTATATCACAAGTGGTATTACTTATCACTGTATTTAATTTTTACTGTCAGTGGATGTTAATGATGCCAGCATATCTTTAGTTAGCAGTTCCCTGACTACTAGTAAATTTGAGCAATTTGTACTTCTGTATTCTCTTCATACTTTTTGTATGTTTGTCTAATCTTTTTAAGATGTCAGTTTCTAAGCACACTCTATATATTATGTATGTTAATCCTTTGCATCTGCATTATAAACACCTTTTTTAAAAGCTGTAAGTTTTCTATTCACTTTATGTGGTTTCATGCCATACAAAACAGTTTCAGTTTTTATGTAGAAAATTGTGTCTTGGTTAAGGTCTCTTCTATCTATAGATTTTGTAAATTTAGTTTCCAAGATTTTCATATAAAATTTTTATCATATGTCTTAATTTCTATGTTTTTAATCCATCTGGAATTTATTTTTGTGCATGGCATAAGATAGCAGTCCAATTTTACTTTCTTCCAGATGGATAACCGGTTGTGCTACTCTCATTTTTCTACTGAGTAGAACTACCATCTTTGTCATATCTTAAATTCTCATATATATAGGATTTGATTTCTAGATTATTCTGTTTATTGATCTGGTTGTGTATTCCTATCTCGATACTGTTTTGATTAAGGAAGCTTTGAATTATTTTTGATAACTGTGAAAGGAAGACTTCCTGTTTTCTATTTCATACTTTTCTTGACTATTCTTGCAAATTTAATCTTTCATAACAACTTTAAAATCATTTATCTAATCCCACCACCCTACCATCACTCCCCTCATAAGGTGATATAGAGATTCTTATTTGAATTGCATTTAATTTAAATATCAATTGATGGTGTAAGTTCAACATTGTTGTAATATCTGCACATCTAAGAACATGGTATATCTTTCTATTTGTTAGGGTCTTTTTTTTCCTTGTTTGTTACAGAAATCATAATTGCTTTCATATAGATCTTGTATCTTTTTTGTTATATTTTTTCCTAAGAATTAGTGTTCTTGCAATGGCAAATGGAATGTTTTGTTTGTTTGTTTGCTAATTGCTAAAATAGAGAAAAGACCTTCATTTCTTAAAATTTTGTATCTACTTACTTTCTGATGTTTTGATGAATCCTCCTAATTTTGTACTGTCATCTTTTGAGATTTTTTAGGTATACAATAATAGCAGCAGTAAAAAACAATTTCACTTCTTTTTCAGTGTTTATGCAGGCTACTAAACTTTCTTGGTTTTGTTTTTGTATATGATAGAAGCATTATAACAGTGGCAAATGATGATGGTAACTCGCATCTCTCAGCCTGTTTAATTCCTGATCTGACTTTAATTTAAATAATTTTAGTTTTTTTGTCTTTTAGAAACATGTTCATTTTGGGGGTAAATTCTATTTTATTTAAGTGGTTTTCTTTTATCTCTGAGTTGGAATTTTTATTAGGAATGTCTGCTAAATTTTATCAATAGCTTTTTCAGCCCTTGATAAATGAATGTAGTTTTCTTAAATTTGCTGTAGAGTAAAACACATAATTTAACAACATATGATAGACTTATTTATATTGAACTACCTACTGTTGGCTTCATAGACTAAATTTCTACAGACCAAGTACTGCTAGAGTCTTTGTTTTCTGATCTTTTAACAAGGACTCCGTAACCTTGGTCTCTAAGTAGAGCCTGTCAGACTCAGAGGGAAGAAAGCCTAATAAGTAATCCACAGGGATTCTCATGGCATCTCTTACCTGCAGTTGCCTATAACTCCTACAGCTGTTTGGCTGGCAAATCAAATAAGTTGGAGTTGAAAATGAAGGGGAAAAAAGGCTTTTCTGGTTTCTAGCTTTCAGAATCATTCTCTGTCCTTTCTTTTGGCTTTTATCTTTTGTATTAGTAACTCTTTCTGTTTCTTTTAATTCAGTGCTTAGTAGAAGAAATTTACATCAGAAATTTACTCCTGCTTCAGCAGATCCTTTTAAGAAATGCAAAAATAATGAAATAGCAACCTATTCTGATGTTTCTCTTTCCTTCCATGAGTTGGCCTTGTCTTTTCTGAAACTTTACTTGCATTGTTTTCTGTAGTGATTTTCAGCTTTGGTGGGTTGCCATGAATTGCAAACTTTTATCCAGAACCTAAACTCCTAATAGTAAGCCCTTATAACCAATATTGACATTTCTAATTGTTTGTCAGAGGCAAGCCACATTGTGCTATTCTGGAAAATATAATTTAAATATCCAATTATAATGTCATTATTAAGCTAACTGTGTTTTTTTGTTTGTGTGTTTGTCTAATTGTTTTTTGAGACTGTCTTGCTCTGTTGCCCCAGTTGGAATGCATTGGCATTATCATAGTTCACTGCAACCTCAAATTACCGAGCTAAAACGATCCTCTTGCCTCGGCCTCCCTAGTAGCTGGCACTACTGGCACATGCCACCAGGCCAAGCTAATTTTTCAATGTTTTGTAGAGACAGAGTCTCACTCTTGCTCAAGCTAGTTTTGAACTCCTGACCTTGAGCAGTCCTTTGCCTCACCCTTCCAGAGTGCTAGGATTACAGGCATGAGCCACTGCGCCTGGCCTGTTTTGTTTTTAAATTAAAAATCTCTCTCTGGTAGATTTGATAATAGGAATAATTGAATAACATTAATCATGAGAACTTGCCTATGGATACCCAGCAATTAAAGGGGATCAGTTTGGCAAAAAGAATACTGGCCATGGAGTAATATTATAGTTTCAGCTCTGCCAGTAGCTTATACGAACTCAAATGAGGTTCTGCACCTGGGGCCATTCATTTCCTCTTCTCAAATGAGATTGCTGAAGTAAGCCATTGATCTTCCTGTGTAAGGTTTGACATTCTGGAAAATCTGTTTGAGTCCTTCCTGCCCCTCTCACCCCCACCCCAAAATAGGCCATGATTCCACTCTTCCACAACTGAGTACTCTTGCTATCTTGTTTTATAAGAAAATAGGTGGTGAATGGACATTAGAAGTATATTATCTGCTTCCATATAGCAATTGCTTTAATAGGTCCCTTTAAATTATTATTTGTGAAATAACTTTTAAGTCCTCATATCTCTGTCAAGTTATTTCCCCTATAGTGAGTTTCTATAAGTCATATCTGTCTAGAGTGTTCTAAAGGCTTCCTGAACTGTAAGACTGGAAACATAATAGATTTGACCGTATTAAAATTACTAGTAATTGGCAGGTTTTGACTCAAAATAATGCCCTAACTTAATAATAATTATAGGTGAGTTAAACAGTTATCTTACTGGGGTTTTACTTGAAAGGTCTTTCAACCTAAAAGCAGATTTCCTTTTGTTTTATTAGGCATTCATTGTTTATTCAATCAAAAATACCTTTTGAATGCCTGCTCTGTGCCAGCCCTGTACTAGGCCTTGTGGATATGCCCCTGAATGAAATAAATCTGTTCACTGGTTTGTTGAAGTCTGTAGTCTAATGGGGAAAATAGGCAATTAACTATAAACAATTACAATAAAGTTGCATGAAAGCTATAAAAGAAAGAATACATATTGCTGTACTGCAAATGACATGAAGGATTTCTCATCTAAGTATTTGAAAAGGTCTTTTTTAGAAACAAGTATTAAAAAGGAGGATATGAATTTGAGAACTATTATGGAAATAGATTCCCAGGACTTGGTGACTAAAAACAGTGCATTAAAGTGAAGAATGGGGCCGGGCGCTGTGGCTCACGCCTGTAATCCTAGCACTCTGGGAGGCCGAGGCGGGCGGATTGCTCAAGGTCAGGAGTTCAAAACCAGCCTGAGCGAGACCCCGTCTCTACCATAAAAATAGAAAGAAATTAATTGGCCAACTAATATATATATAAAATCAGCCGGGCATGGTGGCTTGTGCCTGTAGTCCCAGCTACTCGGGAGGCTGAGGCAGGAGGATAGCTTGAGCCCAGGAGTTTGAGGTTGCTGTGAGCTAGGCTGACGCCACGGCACTCACTCTAGCCTAGGCAAGAAAGCGAGACTCTGTCTCAAAAAAAAAAAAAAAAGTGAAGAATGGTCAAGTTGACACCTTAGTTTCATACTGGAGCACCTGGGAAAATGTTGGAAAAAAAGACATTTCATGGGGAAAATGTATTTGATTTTGTATGTGCTGTGGTTGAAGTCTCTACTGGGTATCCAGATATAAGGAAGATATGTCACTAGCAGGCAAATTGTAGATGGAAAAGAAAGCTCAGGAGTGAGTTCAGAGCTAGGCAGAGAAATTATTTGTATTGAGGGAATAATTGATGCCATATCATCATTTCTTCTTTCTGGGTACTTCACTGTTTTGCATATGCATAGCCTCAATGTATTTGAGTAATACATGACAGCTTTTATCCAGATAGCTGTTGTGTGCCTTTTAACTATGCAGTCACAGTAAGAGAGGGCATTTTAGGACTCAGGAACCCAGCCTCAAGCAGTGCAACATTGTTGGTGGGAAAACACTGACTCTTTAAGAAAGCTGTTTTAGTTTTATTAGCAGAAAGTGAGTAAAGTTATATACTTCCTATCTGCTAGCTGTTCATAAGCCTTTTGTATACACTGTTTTTATTTTTCAACAACCCTGTGAAATAAGGAGTATTGTACTCATTTTACAATGATGAAACAAAGGCTAAGAGAAGCTAAGTAATGTTAGAGCAAGAATTTAGGGTGTTCCTTCAATGATATAGGTCTTTTTCCTATGCCACACTTTGCCATGTTTTCTGGTAAGACCTGTCAAATATTGTTGTCAAGCTTTTGCCCAAATAGGTTTTTGAGTTTCTTGCCTTTGTGTAATAAGCACAGTGCTTCAGATTTGAAATGTTATTCATTGAATTCTGGTTATGGGTGGCCATTTGTCTGCAATAAGAAAGCATGTGTATAAAATGAGTAAAAAGTGAAAGTTGGAATCAGATATGTCTCCTCACATGTGTAGACCTTCTGGAATGCCATCAAATGCCAACATTTATTTTCTTTTACTCTGCTGGGTGTGTAGAATTTTATTTAGAAGGATCAATTGAAAATTCAAAGATACCCAGAGTAAAAGATACTACTACTACCTATTTTCATAGCACCCCACTCCCAGTTAGCTGAAAATTGTCATTGTTGATGACATTCCCAGAAAAGCCATAATATAGTCTCAGTTTGCATTGTTTTAAATAGGCAGAAACAAGATTGTGTATTCTAAGATACAAAGGCTAATTTGTATCATGAAACTTCCTGTAATTTTCAAGCCTGAGTGAACTTGGTAAAGCTTTTCTGTCTTTTGTATATCTGTGTATGGCTTCTCAGCAAGCTAGAAGCAAAAAATCACGTTTCAAAACTATAGGATAGTGTCAAATACAGGCACAATATATTAAATATTTTTCTATTCTATGTGTGTACTGTTTCTGCAGTATTCAGAATTGGTGGTATTTTATTTTTCTCCTTGAAAAGCTGATTTTAAAGTTTCTTAATATTAGCCACAATCATGAGAGAGAAAATTAATGGTGAATTTTTAGCCTTCCAAGTTATAACTTCTTGTGCAGCTCAATTATGGTTCTCAGTTGCCATGCTCTGTTAATACACTTCCTTTCTTTAATATTGCTCTTTGTTCATTGGGAAAATGCCACAAGAAAATAGGAATTTCCTCACACCATTCCCCATCTGGCAGTGTATTTCGGTCTAATTCCTGACATTCTGTCCTGGTTACTACCCGTTCTTCTTGCTAGCTGTCTAAATTCTGCTTATCTGCTAAAAGGGGGATTCCAGACAGACGAGGAAACAGCTTTCAAATGCTGTACTGCAGGCATACTAAGTCATTCCCCCCACTGTGCAGTCTGGAAATTGAGGAGCATTTCTCTGGCTATGCATTCTAATGAGTTGTTAAAGATGTCAGAGTGTGCTTGTACATGCATTTTCTTTCCCCTCCCCCTTTCTTCCTTCTCTCAAGCCCCCTCTTCTCCCTGTTTCCCCTCCTACTTCTTTATCCCCTCCCTCCGTGTCTCAGTTCTGCAGTACACAGGGCTGAAGCACATTCCTGCTTTGCCAGGCTTTCTGTTAAGGATGTATTGTGGCTTTTGTTCGGATTGCAGCATACAGAATTACAGGTAACATTCTGAAATTGAGGTAAACGTTTAAATTCTGTTGAAATGTTTTTAAAGAGGCAAAATATTACATTGGAATTGATGAAGAAAATAATTTAGTGTGGATAATTTTATTAGTGGTAATTGTAGTGAAATGTTTTCAGAAATGTTATAAGCAAATTACTTTTCTACCCTAAAAGACTCAAATAAAAGGAAATGGGGATAGATTGATCTGACTGCAGTTGATTTTGTTTTATGCTGATCTCGAAAGGTTGATGTTGCTGCTATTCATCTGTAGAGTAAGGACCAGTTATATGGGGTGCTACTGAGGGTAGCCATTAATACTGGTACCAGGAAGGGTGGAGTGGGAGGATGATGCTAGTCTGAGCTAGCCAGGTTCTTTGATTAGGGCATTGGATGCAAAATGTAAAATGCTCTCTCCTTTTCTTCTATCAGCTATTCAGAGGAGACTCATTACAACTCCTGCTGAAGCTCCTAATCTTCCTCCCTTCTCTTCTGCCCCTTTCCCCTACTCTTACTTGGCCTGAAGACGTTGTCCCCAGAGTTTGCCTTACTCCCCTGGTGCTATGTGTATGGTGAACCTGGCGCTATGGCCGCATCTGGGACTGGCCAGACAACTGCTGCTGGTTCTCCCTATTCCAAGAAGGATTTAAAGGGGAATTGCACTGCAGGCAATGCACCAGAGCAGCAGCATCGGGAGCTTGGGGACTAAGGCTCCTCTGGCATTATTATACACATGCAAAGCTGACCGCAATGACAGCAGCTGCTCCTTTGAACTGTTGGCAGCAGCCAAGCGGCAGCATGAAGTGAGAGATCATTACTGGGCTCAAGATGAACTCCACCTTGGATGGTAATCAGAGCAGCCACCCCTTTTGCCTCTTGGCATTTGGCTATTTGGAAACTGTCAATTTTTGCCTTTTGGAAGTGCTGATAATTGTCTTTCTAACTGTATTGATTATTTCTGGCAACATCATTGTGATTTTTGTATTTCACTGTGCACCTTTGTTGAACCATCATACTACAAGTTATTTTATCCAGACTATGGCATATGCTGACCTTTTTGTTGGGGTAAGCTGCCTGGTCCCTTCTTTATCACTCCTCCACTACCCTCTTCCAATAGAGGAGTCCTTGACTTGCCAGATATTTGGTTTTATAGTATCAGTTCTGAAGAGTGTCTCCATGGCCTCTCTGGCCTGTATCAGCATCGATAGATACATTGCTATTACCAGACCTTTAACCTATAATACCCTGGTTACGCCCTGGAGACTGCGCCTGTGCATTTTCCTGGTTTGGCTGTATTCAACCCTGGTCTTCCTGCCTTCCTTTTTCCACTGGGGCAAACCTGGATATCATGGAGATGTGTTTCAGTGGTGTGCGGAATCCTGGCACACCGACCCCTATTTCACCCTGTTCATCGTGATGATGTTATATGCCCCAGCAGCCCTTACTGTCTGCTTCACCTATTTCAACATCTTCCGCATCTGCCAACAGCACACAAAGGAAATCAGCGAGAGGCAAGCCCGCTTCAGCAGCCAAAGTGGGGAAACCGGGGAGGTACAGGCCTGTCCCGATAAGCGTTATGCGATGGTCTTGTTCCGAATCACTAGTGTATTTTACATCCTCTGGTTGCCATATATCATCTACTTCTTGTTGGAGAGCTCCACTGGCCACAGCAACCGCTTCGCATCCTTCTTAACCACCTGGCTGGCTATTAGTAACAGCTTCTGCAACTGTGTCATTTATAGTCTCTCCAACAGCGTCTTCCAAAGGGGACTAATGCGCCTTTCAGGGGCCATGTGTACTTCTTGTGCAAGTCAGACCACAGCCAAGGACCCTTACACAGTTAGGAGCAAAAAAGGCCCTCTTAATGGATGTCATGTCTGAAGTGGCTCAGATATTGGGTCACTTTGTGTGTGGTTTTCTTTCTTCTTTTTTTATCTCTTAGTGTTCCTAGCTCACTAGGAAATCTGGGACAGAATAATTTGACTCTAAGCAATAGCAAACAAATGATCCATCCAAATACCTTCTAAGTTTACAGAAATGATTTTTAAAAGTGCTTTTCAATCAGAAAAATCAAGATCATGAAGATAAATTAGTCTTGGTTCCAACTTTTGAAATGTTATGGAAATGACTACAGTTCTCAGAATTAAAATGAATAAAGCCATATCTAACACCTCTCTCCAGCTGGCAAGATGGAACCTGAGTGTGAAAAGCGTCAGCATTTTAAAAAGTCATCATTTTCTTGTCACTTTCAGAGTTTTTTCCAGCTATTTGAGCTTCATGTGCAATTGATTTTTTTCAACAGGAATATTGAAATATCGTGATGAATTAACAGGTTTTAAAAAAAATTTTTATGTATGCCAAAGTATAACTATACTCCAAGTTTCAACACTGTCATTTTGAAAGCCAGAGGTTTTATGTCTTATTCTCTTGAGATAATTCTTTAATAGGGTGAATAATGTGAAGAGTTAAACATTATTTTAGAATTTTATAATGAGCCATGAGGCAAAAATGCAATCAAATCATACAACTTATGAAAAACTGAGCAAGTTTTTTTGCCATGATTCAGAGATCTAAAGATAATGTGTACATAGAAGTGGTCGTGCTACAGTATTTTTACCCATATCTTTATGTATGTGTATATTGAGAATATTTGAATTTAGATTTCTTTTTTACAGCAAAATGTGTTTCAACTAAAAAATAATTAAATGATAGGCTGATGACTATCAATTTTGTAATAGTGAAAATATATGAAAATATGTCTTTAATGTTTTCTGTTTTTATCCAAAGACTTTTGAAATACTAGAACATCAGGGAGATAAGTCGTAAGCAACTGATTCAGAAAATAAATTGTAGTATACTAATTTATTTTTAAAATAGAAGGGAGTTAAGTGAGACATTTTCTGTGTGGCTAGATGGAATCAACTAATATAGTAGCAATTAGTTCTTTTTGAAAAGCATTCAGTTAGTGTTAAGGAATCCACATTTGAAGAAGAGAAAGGGAAATTGTAATCTAAGTCTTTGTTATTGCTGTTTGCTTTGTGGAAAAAAATCCTTTGGCATACTGTTATTTAATAAATTTTTTTCTTTTTTGTTGTTGTTGCCATAGTGCTAGCAGAATCTATAGGATTTTTATTACTGTTCTATAGAATTATTATTGAGAGTGGCCTGCGTTTGTATGTAGTAGTGATGTTTTGTTCGTAAAAGTGATTATCTTTATAGCAAGAGATTTATTTTTCAAAAAGGACAAAATTTCTGGCAGCTCCAGGCATGAGAGTATTTCCTCTACTTTTCTAGTGGTTTTAATGTTTTAGAAATCTACAGGGGACTTATTTGATCTCTGCCTTTGGCTAGACGTTGTAACCTGAATATGACAGTGGTGTTCAGTGAGATGGAAGATGGAAGAAACCCAAGGGACATGGGTTAAAGTGGATTTCTGAATCCAAGAAAGGACATGGATATTTATAAAACAGGCAGATATGCTTTGGTTTTCCATCATGATGTTAGAAACCCCACTCCCCTTTTTAAATAAAGGGCAGTGTTCTTATGATTTTGGGTTTTATATTATCAACTTGATTTTAATCTCAAATGTGCTCTATTTAAACTTTTTTTATTTTAAGTGACCAAGTATTATATAAACATTCAAACTTCAGATTCTGAGTTCTTTCCAAAAGCTTGCTTGCTCTTTATATTTAATGTTAGCAAACTTGATTCTAAGCTGTTTTAAAATTTAGAACACATACTTAAATTGCAAGTTATGATAGAATTGGATTGTTAAATTGCTATTTCAAGTGGACAGCCTTTTCTCCTGGATTCTGAAAAATAATTGTATTGTACACATTTCCCCTTTATTTAAGTGGTATAGATCTTAAACAATTTATCATTTTTCATATATGTTAGAGAATGTAACCTGTTCACATTTGCAGTTTGCTTATGAATTTTTATTTCAACAAGTAGGGGAATCTTAAAGACTTAATTTTTATATAAAATTGATGTTAAATCAGTAAGTTTTCCCTTTTCATTAAATTTTTTTTTTCCAGTAGGGTTCCATCTTGTGAGGATGGAAAAGAGAAAATATCTTTTTAAATTTTCTGATAATGGCTAATCAAGCTGGTCTTTTAATGACTGCAAAGACAGCTCTTTTTTTTTTGAGACAGAGTTTCACTTTACCCAGGTTGGAGTGCAGTAGCACGATCATAGCTCACTACCCCGCAGTAGCTAGGACTACAGGTGCACATCACCATGCCCAGCTAATGTTTAAAATTTTTTTTGTAGAGATAGGGTCTCCCTGTGTTGCTCAGACTGGTCTTGAACTCTTGACCTCAAGCAATCCTCCTCCCTCCACCTACCAAAGTACTTGGATTATAGGAAAGAGCCATGAGAGCCACACTCCTGGCTGACAACTCTTTTAATAAGATCTTTTGTTAATAAATGTTCACATTCTTTTCCTAGTACCAAATTTGAATTTTAATAGAAGCATTTTTTTCACATTAGAATCTCTATTATTGTCTCAGCCCAAAACTAATGTAGAAAGTAAGTAGATAAAGCAATTTTAAAGAAAAATATAGAACCCCTCCCCCCAACTGATACAATTCAATACTTGCTTAATATCAAGTATCTTTCCAGTTGATCATGTCTTTATTGTGCTATATAAACTCTAAGGTTTCTTCTAGGTATCAGTTCTGTTGTTCTCACATTCCCTGCCTATACTGCCTTTTTATTATATGTGTTATGCTCGTGTTAGGGGAGAGGAGATGCACCTGGACGACTGTGGCTGAGGGCATTTTCTGTGTGATATGTTGGGAGAGTTTGTGTTTAACTGATCTTTTCATCCTGGCATATTAAATGCGACATTTGATGATGATTGGTTTAAATACAAATCTGACTAGTTCATATTAGAAAAAAGTATGTTTTTATATTCAATTACCTTGGCTTTGGCAGAATAGCTCATTTGATTTTATATGGCATATGACTGGTATCAAAGGAAATATATGCTTTTGGTGATTGTGCTGAAATTATTTCATAGTAAATTTTAAAATATGATTATACTACTAAATAATTACTATATTTGTAAATTAGTTGTGTGTTTTTAGAGTGATTTCAGTGAATATGTGGGGGTTTTTTCCTCCTAGAGTGGAAATGCAATTACAAATGGACTAGCATGCTCTGCTTTAATGAGAGCACTATCTTAAACTAGAATGGATATTTGTATTTTTCATGGACCTGTTGACTCCTACCCAAAATTTCATTTTGGAAAAAGTTTTCTTTAGGCTTTATTGCTGGATAAATTCTTTTGAGCCTTTTATAATGGCTTTTCCTTTTTACTTGAATAATAGTCTCAGTATTTTAAGGATTGGGAAAACTTGAATTTTTGTACTATAAATATACATCTTTGAACTTAAAGATGAAGCTGACAGGGTTACATGCTCCCAGGTGGTGGGGTGGTTTCTGAGAGGGTTTCCTCAGCTTTTTAGTTTGTTTGAAAAATCTGCACAAGTGACTTTGTAGGAAGTGTCTTAATTTTAGTGACTATGTGTTTTTGTATCATAAGTAATTTGTGAAATTAATTATTGGCAAACCAGAATTTATTGTTAAATGAGCAAATTTGGGGAAGTTTAAGGATGAGAGAATCATAGCAGTAGGAGATTTTTTAAGTCTTCACAAATCATTTTGTGTATTGATTTTTGCATGATTTCTTTATTTCAGGTTCAAGCAAAACTATATTTATGTTAAATATCCATATTGTTAACACAATTAACTGCCATGTGAGTTGTATTTAACTCATGCTAGTTTTGAGCCTGGGACCTCGTGAAGCAAAACCTGGGCAAAACCCTGCAGTTGGTTCATAAAAATCTTACATATTGATGTTCTTATTGTTATGATTAATATTGACAATTTAATTTTTAAAATGTGGATTAAATAAATAGAAGTCAATAAATTTCATTTTTCTATTTATGTTTACCTTTAAATTACACTTAAGCCTGATAGGTCAAGAAAAACACTTTACCCTTATGAACTGTTTTTCAAGTTTTCACATTACTTTTTATATTACTAGTTTTCAAGTTTTTATGTTACTTTTTTATTGAAGAAAACAATAAAAATAACAAATTTTTCATGAAATTAGAAAGGATTATTTTGTTTTCGAAGTTTTTATTCTATTTTCATAATAAAACACTGTGGTCCCAAGGAAACCTTTTTTTTTCCTAGTGTGGCAGTCAATGTGTGAATATTATTTTGTATACCTTGAAAATGTTGTAAACATTTCTATGGGTGTAAATGAATCATTTGGCTTTTCTTCAAAATTTGAGTGACAAAAGGACATCATGATATGAAAAGGATGAACTTTGAACTGAGAATCAAAAATGGAGATTTCAGTTTCTAATTAACAAGTTTTGTAAATTAGGGAAAGACACTTCTCTAAGCACTTAATTTCTTCTATAAATGGAGACAATGATCCCTTCATACCTCATAGGGTTACGTGGAGGATTGAATTAGAAAATGATTGTGAAAGTACTTTGTAAATTGTGAAGTGCTTTGCAAATAAAAATAATTTCTGTTATTTGTATTTGCCACTCTTTTACATGTGAGGAAGCCATACGTCATAACATGTTCCCTCACATTAAGATCTTTGAAGCTCAATGCTATATTACTCCTCCATGCTACTTAGCAATCCCCAACCTGAGTAGAGAGGCAGGATAAATCCCCATCTTTCTGAAATAACAGTAGCCTTAAATCCAACATAAAACTGCTTTCATTTCTTTCACTTGTCTACAAAAATTCTAAAGGTGAAGAACAGTGTATCAGTATTTTTATTCCCAAAATGTAACAGGACCTGGCTCAGAGCAGAAGTTTTAACAAACTTTATAGAATTAATAAATGAATTCAATAATTATTGCATCTATTCACCAACTTTCCCCCTTCTGTTTGTGATTACAGGACAGTGATATTCAAAAGATAGTCCAGAGCCTTGTAAGCATCCTTCCATTTGGCCTAGGTAGGCCATTCTAGACTTTAGTAATATCTCCTTTTATAGTACCAAGAGATTAATGTGGGAATGTGAGTCTTCTATATGCTAGGTATTTTTACTCCTGGAAACCCTATTGCCTTGGCCCAAGGAGCTTCAGCCAATGCTTTCAAATTGCCAATTTCTTACAGCATGGATAAGAAATAGGTTTTTGGCTAACATCTTCTTAGCTCTGTATACAGAGAAAGGGAGGCTGTAAAATCAGTCACAAGGGAGGAGTTGCTATAGAAAGCCTTGGTGAAAGAAACTGTTGTAACTATGTGGTTTTGTTTTGTCTCCCTTTCAGTCTTCCCTTTCATCCTTTTCCTAACACACTATTGGTCATGTATGCAGGAGGAAGTATTTCCTTGATACTGCCATAGGGTATTAAAAATTCTGTTATTTAAGACCAGTGGCTTTTAGAGAAAGTCTAAGAAGCAATTAAGAAGCACTTATCTAGTGAGCCCTACTATGTGCCACATGGTATAGCTCAGAGAGGGATCCTCAGAGAGTGATCTAAAGAAGTATCATCCCTTTCTTGTGAACTTTATAATCTTTAGGTGTTTCATGTGGAAAAATTACATGATTGTTTTTGTCTTCTAAAAGGCCTCACAGGGTAACTTTATCTGGAAGAATTTACCAAGGCCTCCTGATAGGACACCCAATGGGTCTGTTTCTTTGGGTGAGATCACATGATGCTGGTGTATAAAATCATAATGTCATGTTGTTAATTTAAAATAAGAAATGAATGCTATAGGGAGCAGTCTTTCCATAATGGTAGATCTTTATGGGAAGCCAAACTACATTCAGAAGATTGCATGGTGAGGATGGACTATCAGATCATGATGCTGTAATGTGAACATTACTGGTATCAGACTAAGCTTGATGTCTAGTCTCCACAATTGGGAGAGACTTGTCGTTGGAATCATAATAGATGAAATCATCCCTACTTCTAGTACTAGCCATCCTACTTTCTAATTGGCATATTACAATATTTCTTTAGTTCAGTTGACTTCTTTCGTTACTTGCCTTTTAGTCAGATTCCTTGCAAGTCTTAGTAATCTGTAAGTCTGCAACTCATTATTTATCTTTAAGTTGGTTTTGTACCACTGGTCTTATCTTTTATCATAAAACACATTGATTTTATGATTTATTATTCAAAGCACATCTTTATTCCTTTATATTAGTTTAGGAAAGCAGCTTATCTCCATTTTAATGTAGTGCTTAGTTGGAAAAGCAAGATATATGAAAATGCCTATAAAAATTAGTATCAGATAATTAAGACTGAGATATTAACTATATAAAATGTTAAGTCGTATCTAGTAGAGGAGGGTGGGGTGGCATGGTTGAGTTGGAAAGGACCTTAGAAATCATGTGATCTGATTCTGTCATTTTAAAGACAGGAAACCAGTTTGGTGGTCACACATCTATTTATGATAATACTCAGACTTCCTGCTTCCTAATTCATTTCCCTTTTCTGGTACACCATGTTGCTTTTGCAGAGGAGTTGGAATTTGGCTTGACTCGGCCATGTCTGTGGTACGCACATATGTATGTACAAGTAATGCTAGATGTAGGAAACATGAGCAACAATGTGAATGTTGATTGAGGCTCACTGTGTTTCTGGAGAATTTTATAAACTTTATCATATCTAATCCTTCCAACACCGTATGAGCTAGTGACTATTATTAACTCCATTATACAGATGAGGAAACTGAGATTTAGAGTTGCCAGAGTCACACCACTTATAAGTGGAAGCTCTGGGATTCAAATCCAAGTCTTTCTGGCTCCATTTAATTTTCACTACAATCAGGTAGCTGTTCTTCATTTTCCTGTTTTACAGGTGAGGAGATTTATTGAGGTTAAGAAACTTCCAAGGTTACACATAGTAATGAATGTTATGATTCAAATCCAGTTCTTTGACTCTAAAGCTTATGACCTTGACCAGTATATATAAACTTTGTCTTGAAAAATATGGTAGTCTTCCTGCTAATACAGCAAATTGAATATGCATATTTCTGTTAATTCCACTATAAAAAATAGCAAAGATATAATAAATTTGGACAAAGAGAAGGAGAGCAGAGATGGCAGATAAATGATGCCAACAAAATTTTGGAATATAGAAACCCAGTGGACAAGTGGTAACTGACTAGCAGAATCTACCAAGCTGAGTCCTGAAGTCAAGAGAAGGGAAAGAACAAAA